ACCCTAACCCTAACCCTAACCCTAAGGCTCTCCTTTTGCTCTTCGCTCACTCGCTGGTTTCCCTTGGCAATCTTAGTCTCGCCGATCGTTCTGCGGCTCACAGCGACGCATCACACGTCCTACTGACTGCACGACGCCGTTCTGCTGATCCTGCCATTCTTCATTCACTCGCACTCGCATCTTCAACCAGTGCCGTTCCCTTTCCTCCTGCAGTCCCATTCTTTTGCTTCCCACGCCCGCTTTCTCCACGCCAGCACCATGCGAGAAGATTTACAAGGCTCGGCGAGATTCGAGGCTAGAGCCAGGTCAGTGGGAACGAGGAAGGCGGGTCCGGAAGCAGGCGAGTCGATTTACAACCTCGGACGCCTCCAAGCTGTTCGTTCATGATCTCCGCGGTCCTCTCCACAACCAACGGACCCCGATAGCACCCTGAGGCGTCAAAGCGGTCTTGCCGTGCGTTCTCCTCCGCTAATCCTCGATCTTCGGTGTGCACCGCAGACTTTCCCGCAGTACAGGCCTTTCATGCATGTTCCCCCACCTGCTTCACATTGCCACATCCCTCACTACAATTCGTTGATGCCCTTATGTCCTCACTGCGCTCGACACGCCTCTACTCGCCCGTCAGGACTTGAACTTGCATTGTAGCGCTTTCGCAATTTCACTCGCCGACAATACACGCACGCATCCTTTGCCAAGACTCGACAATCTCACAGCCATAGCGACCGCGCGAAGCAAGAACACACGCGCGAGGGAGCTCGAATGAATTACAACAAACGCCCGCAAGTCCAGCTCGCGAGTTGCGCTTCTACCGATACGGCCCGTTCTCCTCCCAACCTCCGTACGCACCGCCGTACGCTCCCCCATGCGCACCTCCGTACGCCGTCGAGAAGGATCCCGCGTGCCCGGTGTTCGAGCCGTTGTTGTGCCGCTCGGCGCGCTCGTAGAGGTTCTGCCGCGACGGAGGTTGGTACTCGCCTGTCCGGCTTGCGAGGGACTGGTCGAGCGCAGGCGTCTCGGAGCGATAGCCTTGACCGTACGCCGCGCCGGAAAAATCGAGCGAGGCGAGCTTGTCGCCGTACCGCGCGCCGTCGTCCCGTTCCCGCTCGTCACGCCCGCCTGTCCGACTCTCGTTCCGCGGCGACGGCAAATACTCCTGGCCGTACTGCTGGTAGCCCGTCGCACCGTAGAGGTCCTCCTGTGCGTCGTAGTCAACGAACCGGTCGTCGCGCTCGTACGCAATCTCGCGAGTGAGGTTCCCGCTGCTCGGATTCGTGCGATACGACGGCAGGCGGGACATCGACTGCGCAGCGAGACCGCTGCCTGAGTAGCTGCCGTCATAGCCCATCGGCTGAGCCCGTGCTGCGAGACCGTCGTGCGACGAGACCGATTCGGCGTACGAGTAGCCCTGTCCGCCCTTGAGCGACTGGACGTCGGTCGTCGAGGGATACGGCGCGTGGCGAGAGAGGCCGTACGGGACCGAGTTGCCGTAGGGAATCGAGGGAGGGTAGCCGAACGAGTCGGGCGCGTACTTCTCGCCGCGCACCGAGCCGACATCCGAAACGAGGTCGTCGTCGGCGAGACCGATCTTTGGAAGAGTCGGCTGCGGGCGAGGTGCGCGACCCTTGAGATGGCGGAAGTCGCCGCGCGCTTCTCGCTCCTCCAGCTCGCGCTCCTGCTTCAACCGCCGCTTCGCCTTGCGCTTCATCAACTCGGCAATGCTGTGGGCATGACGAGTGGGGGAGAACGAGCGTGAAGGGTGATGTCGGGATGTGCGAAGTGCGAGAGAGTTGCGGGAAGTTGATGGCGGAGGAGGACGCAGAAGGCGACAGGCGACGACGAGTAGAGGACGAGAAACTCGGTCAGCGATAGCTCGCCCACATGCAAGAACGCCCGCACGCACCGCTTGTCGACCTTGTGGCAGCAGTACTCCTTCAAGTTGCCCTGGATGTAGCAGAGGAGCGGAACGTAGATAATCGAGGCGACGAGGAGGCAGGCGGCCGAGATGGCAAAGATGATGACCGTGTACGACATGGTGATCAAGGCGACCTTCTTGATAAGCGAGCCGGAGAAGTAGACGCTAAAGTCGGTCGTCCATTTCTGCGACTTGCCGAAACTCCAGAGCGTGATGGCGTTGATGACCTGGCGGGGCGCGTCGCAAAGTAGGAGTGCCTTCCAGCCTGCGAGATGCGAATCGGTCAGCGACAGACGCCGCTGCGCATCGCGCAAAAACTGGAGAGAACCCAATTCCTGCGGGAGAAGCCAGCAACCGCCAACCGAACTCACCCTTGAACGTAAAGAAAACCCAGAACGCGACCGAGTCCTTCTTCTTTTTCGACTCCTCGATCTGGCCGAAGAAGCAGTGGTGGTCGTACGAGCGGAGGGCGTACCACTCGTGCGCCATGACGTTCGTGAAGGCGTACGAGATGTCGCGCGACTTGACGATGGCGCGGGCCTTGCGGGCTTCCCAGAGAAGGAGGAGGTACGAGAAGACGATGCAGCTGCAGCAGAAAGCGGGAGCGTCAGCGAAGTTCGCAAACGCCAAGGTCGCGAAAGACCCGCCAACGCGACAGGAGAGAGCAAATGAGCTGACGTACCCGAAGAAGATCCATTTGCCTGCGAGAGGCCACAAAAGACCGGGGTAAGAGTCAGCGGAACTGCCCTCAATCTTCAGCGCGAGCTGACGCAGATCCATGCACTCCTCGTGTCGTAAGTCCTCAACGCTCGCAGGCGCCTCACACCGCGTCAACTTCATTCGCCGCTTCTCTGCGCGAACCAGAACCAACTCAACGCACCGATGTTGAACGGGACCTCGAGGACATTGCTCGACTTGGTGTCGCCCTGCGCGGCTTCAGACTGGAGGATCTGGCCGGACCATCGGTTCGAAGCGAGCAAGGCGATGAGGGTGTAGGTGTCGGCGACGTAGACGGCGAGGGAGATGAAGAAGAAGAACCAGGATAGGGCGAAGCTGTGCGAGGAGAGAAAGTCAGCGCAGGATCTCGGAAGGTAGGCAGCCGCAAGGAGCTGTTTCCACGGCGGCTACGGCAACGATCGCGCACTACGCACCTCAGGCGAGAGCCGCACGACCGGCTGCGGAACTGGCTGACGTCGATAAAGTCGAACTGTTCGCGAGGGTGGAAGTTCAGTCAGTCCGCGTCCGCTGATCCCGCCTTGCCTGCATCCCAATCGTCACGCTCCAGTACTCTCTCTGTACGACCCGGTAGGATCCAGAGTCGCTGTCCCCCAGGCTGCGCAGTCGACCACAGCGAGACCCCCCGAGAATCGCCCTCCCTGCCCGCTGCACCCACCAGACCGCTGAGAGAGACGTGCCACGCACCTTGTGGTCCGGCACGACCTCACGCTTCCATTTCGCCGATGAGCAGCACATCGTCCGCTCAGGCTTCGCCGACCGTTACTCCTCGCGTCCGGCTGTGTTCGTCTAGCTCGCCGGCGAGTTGGCGCGGCTCGGCGAGGGCGGTGGACGTGTCAAGTCGAGTGTTAAGGCGGTTGCGAGGTCGATCAAGGTGTGCGAGCCGGCGAGAGAGGCTGCGCAACGTCCTCGGAGTTGATGGACGAGAGAGGAGGCGAAGGGAAGGCGAACGGTGGTCGTAGGACGTGGCGGGCGAGTAGAGTAGCTGTACAGATCTCAGTCTAGCAGTCGAGGCAGTCTCAGCGCAGTCTGAGCGAGTCGAGCGAGTGTGAGCAGAGTCGAGGAGAACAAGGGCAGCGCGATGAGGACGACGAGCTGTACTCTCGCTCTGTGGGCCCGACTGAAGCGCGCGTCGTCTCGAGAGTGTCTACTGGACTTGCACTGGCTGGTACAACTACAGTGATAGAGGCCGAGAGGCGGAGGAGACCTGGAGTCGAGGGATGACAAAGGCGGACGACTCGAAGGTCGCGTAAAGACAGGCGATAACGGACAGTACAGAGAAAGACGAATTTAGGGGTATCGCCGACGACGAAAGAAAGCGAGAATTGGCCGGAACTAGGCGGAAGAGGCGGGCGTCTTCTTCGCCTGGCTGTCGATCACACCGTCGAGCTGCTGCGCCCGCCGTGCGGCGTCCGTGATGTTCTCGCGGAGGCGTCTGTCGAGAACGAAAACAGCGAGTCATTCAACAAAGCTCGAACGCGAAAGAAAGCGACTCGGGGGACGCACCTCGCCTCAGCCTCCAACTCTCCGACACGCTCCTTCGCGCCCTGCCTCTCGCGCTTGACCTTCTCCTCGGCGTTCCGCACGCGCTGCTCGAGTTCCCGCACGCGAGCCTCCCACTTGCCCTCGGCGACGCCGTACTTGCTCCGCTGTTCGCCCAGTCGCTGTTCAGCGTCGTGCAGCTGTGCTTGGGTGGCGGTGAGGCGGCGCTGCAGGGTGGATACGCTTGACTCGGCGGTTCGGAGGCGGGCGAGGAGGGCAGATTCGGAGGAGGGAGAACCGGGAAGTCGGGGAGAGTTGGGGTTGGGCGAGGCGTTCGGATTGGGCGACCGTCGTAGTGAGCCGAGCTGCGACTGCAGCGAGGCGACTTCGGCCTGCGAAGCGATAACAGGAACGTCGAGATCAGCTTCGATATGGACCGACGGAAGCCAGCCAAACAATCGCGTCGACGCACCTTGGCATTCTCCAACTCGAGCGTCTTCTGCTGCACCCGCTGCCGCCACTGCCTCTGCGCCTCGGTTGCCGTCTTGAGGGACGCTTCGAAACGGTCGAGTTGCTTGTGCCGGTTGTCCTGCTGGCGCTTGAGGGCTCTGCGGTAAACGATCCTGGTCAGCGATAGGGCGCTACGTTGGACGACGGCCACAACGCACTGCAGCTGGTCGAAGAACTTGTTCTCGAGCTCCTTCGTCCGTCGCTCGAAAGACATGTGTAGCTGGTTGACCGACTTGAGGCGGTCGAGGAGGCGCTCGTGGAAGACGGGAAAGTTGGAGAAGGGTTTTGGCGGTTCGGCAAGCGAGGGTGACTTGCGCTGCGAGACGACAACCGTCAGAGAACGAAGTCATACGCGAGGACAACGCGAACGCACCTTGTCGGATCCGGCAATCTTGTCGACCGCCTGGTAGACGGTGAGCAGCAGCGTGTTGCGCTCGTTGAGCTGGTCGCGGTACTGGTTCTCCGTCTTGGTGAGCGAGCGGTGGTCCGTGTTCAGCTGGTCTTCGACATGCCGCAGGCGGTCGCGGGCGTTGTTGAGCTCCTGCTGCGTCTCGCGGAGGGTCTGCGCGAACGTTATCGTCAGCTGAAGCCGATTGTCAAACGACAGCGCAGCGCACCTTCGTCGCGACGTCGTGCTTGTCAGACAGCGTAATGTGGGTCTGCCGCAACGAGGCGAGCTGCATCGACAGGTCCTTCTTCTCGGCGTCCTGCGAGCGTAAGCCCGTCAGCACCGACGACGACCGCTGGAAACGCGCGGAACTGACCAGGTTCGCGATCTTGACATCCTTCTCGCGACTCTCGGCGATCCGCTCGTCGAGCTCTTCCCTCGTCAGCTGCGCATCCTGCTGGGCGCGCGCCAAGTCCCGCTTGACGCGGTCAATCTCGAGCTCGAGCGCGATCTTGTCGGACGAGGCGTCCTGGCCCATACGCCGCGACGAAGCCTCGAGGCCGTTGAGCGCACGTTGGAGGTCAACGACGTCCTTTTCGCGGTCCTGCAAAACGCCCTGCAGTCGCTGCACGTTCGCCCTGACGCTCGACAGCTCGGCCTCGATAGCCTCGCGGTCCTCCTCCTCCTTGTGCAGGGCACGCATGATCTCGTCTGCCTCGCTCTGCAGCCGCTCCTTCTCGGCAGCGTCCGAGCGCGTCTGCTCTTCGAGCTTGCCGTGCGCGAGAGCAAGGTCCTCGACCTTGGATCGCAAGAAGGCGGCTTCGTTCGTCGACGACTCGTGCTGGATGGTGAGTTCCGAGAGGCGGGACTTGTGCCCGGAGAGTTTCTGCAAAGGCGATGAATTAGCATACGAGCGAGGAGACGAGGGTCAGTTTGAGCGCACCTCCTTAAGCGCCGAGACGACCTGCTCATGGACCGACACCTTGTTCTCGAGCTCCTTGTCGACCGCTTCGAGTTCTCGCCGCAGCTCGTCAACCTCTTTGTCCTTCTCGTCTGCCTCTTCCTCGAGCTGGAAGATTTGCGCGCCGAGCTGAAGGGGGGAGAAGCGTTAGGACGAGGACCTCGGTGGAAGGGAGCGGACCGCGCACCTTCTTCAGGTCATGCGTCAGCGCCGCCGTCTCGTCCTGCTCGGCCTGCAGCTCGGCGTCTTTCTCCGCGACCTTTCGCACGAGCGCCTCAACCTTGTCCGCCAACTCCTCCACGTCAGCATCCTTCTCCACGAGGGCCTGCGCAGATGGACGAGGTGAGCAAGAGGTTGCGAGGGTGCTGAGCAGACGTCGCACGCACCTGTCTCGCCTCCCGTTCCCTCTCTCTTGCATCCTCCACCTCATCTCGCCACTCGTCGGCAACCTTCCCGAGCTCCTCCTGGTGCACCTGTTCCCGCTCGTCGAGTTCCGCAAGCAACTCCTCGATCTCGCGCTCCTTTGCGTCGAGAGCGGCGCGCACGTCTTCGAGTTCCAGCGCGAGGGACGAGGCGCGGTCGCGGTGCGAGTCGAGTTCCTGCGAGTGCGAGTGCGAGTAAGCGGCTCAGTCAGTACGGCTCTCACAATGGGCGCGCCAGCCTGTCCGCGTGCGAGTGGACGCGCACGCGGCGTATTCCACAGCGAGAGACGCACCTTCTCCAGCTCCTCGCGGTCACCCCCGTCCACGCCCATTCCCCGACTCCGCTGCCGCTCTCTCCGTTCCGCCTCTAGCTCCCCCTCGACGGCGTCCAGCTCGGCCTTGAGGTCCTCGACCTGCGCCTGCAACTCGTTCTTCTCGTCGTTGCGGGTCGACAACATCGTGAGCTGCGCCGAGAGCTGCGAGCGAAGCGTTGCGTTGTCCTGCGCGAAGCGTACGAACGTCAATCGTTGGCAGCGACTCAAAGCAGTGCAAGCCGATAGACAGAGGACTTGCACGCACCTGCTCCAGCTTCTCGACCTCCTGCCTGACCCGCCCTGCCCCTCGTCCGTCGCTGACCCCGCTCCGGTCAACCTGGTCCGCCAACTCAATCCGCATGTCCGCCACCTCCTGCCGTAACTCGTCGAGCTCGTCATGTGCGTCCGTCAGCTGTCGTCGCAGAAGGTCGGACTCGGAGTCGGCGTCCGAGAGGCGGTTGCGAAGGTCCTGTTCGAAGCGAGGGTGAGCCGAGGGCGAGAGGTGAGGAACGCCGCAGACGCACCTCGACTTCGTCGGCACCCGCACCACCACGCATCTGCTTGTTCTCCTTGTGCAACTCGCGCGCCTTGCGTTCCCACAGGTCCCGCTGCTCCTCCTGCTCCTGCAACCGCTTCTCCAACTCGCGCTCCCTCGCCGACGCGTTCCCGCCCAACGACGCCCTTCCCTTTCCCTTCGCACCCTGCAACGCCTCGTCCCTCTCCCTCGTAAGGTTCTGAATCGCCTTGTCGCCCTCGATCAACAGCTTCTTGTACCGCTTCAACTCGGTCCGGAGCGTCTGGAACTCGACTTTGAGCTGGATATTCTCGCGGAGAGCTTGCTCGACGGCTGAGGGCGCCATCTTCTCGAGACGCTGCTCGTAGAAGTGCAGCTTGAGCTTGAGCGAAAAGTTGTCCTTCTTGAGCTCGTCGATGACCTGCATGGCGGGAAGTTCAGGTCAGCTTTGGCCTTACCGCGCCGCAAATATATAAGCGCAAGCGAGGGACGCCACGCACCTTCTCCTGCTCCCGCAGCGACATCGCTCCCCCGCCGGGCGCCTTGAGCCTGTCCTTGCCCGCCCCGCCCTTCTTCTGCTGCGACGGCGCCATCGACCCGCCGAGCCCCGCCCCGCCATACATGTTGCTCAAGCTCGACTCGTCGGCCGTCTGCGTCGTCGTCGCCGAAGACAGGTCCATCAAGCTGTCGACCCTCCTCGGTTCGGGCGCTCGTCTCCGCGAGTCCATCTCGGTCGAGACAGAGACGTCGTCCGCGGTCGCCGACTCGTCGAATGTAGTGCGAGAGGAAGGCGAAGGCTGCGAAGTCACGGCGGTCGAGGCAGACGCATGTCGCGAGCCGGTCGTGTTGGACCCCGCCGTGCGAGACGACAAGGCGCTCGCGGCCCTCGCTCCCTGCGCGCCGTAGCCCAGACTATCCTCCTCGTCCTCGTACGACGCGTCCATGCGCCCTCCTGCGCCGTTGCGAGCCGGCATCTCCTCATCCAACAAGCTGCTCGCGTCGTCCCCGTCTCCCGCCGCGCTCGTCTCGTCTGCCCTGTCCGTGCCGCGCCTCGCAAGCCTGATCCAGTCCGCCTGCGTGATACCCGGCGGCGGCTTCTCGTAGTACTCTGAGCGGAACGACGACGCGAACGAGGGGAGGGTCAGGTCGGGACGAGGGGCGGCGGCGGCGGCGGCGGACGCGGTCGACGACGCGAGCGATGCGTCGAGTGCAGCGGCCATGCGCACGCAGCGTCAAGCAGTCCAGCGGCAGTCCAAGCGGGTGAGAGCGTACTGTTGAGTGATGAGAAGCGAATACAAACGAGTTGTATTCAACCGACTAGACGGCACTTTGTATTCAACTCATTACGCCCGAGTTTGTATTCAGCTTGATTGCTCCTCTCTCCCTCCCCGGCTCTTCACGGTCACGCCCCGCTTCGCCTGGCTGGATTGGCTTGCTAGAGTGACGCAGTAGAACGTGCAGACCGCCACACACACGCTCAGACTTGCCGCGCCATCTCGCTCGCTGTTCTCACCCTCGTCCAGCCATCTCCCGCCATCTCGTCCTCGTCGAGCTGCTTCGCTTGCAGGCGCCATCTTTGCTGTTCAGGACGCAATGGCAGGACACTCGAAGCCATCTCTGCCCAGCTCAAAGGCTCGCCGCTCTCGCTCTCCTTCTCTCTCCCTCCTTCACCTCTCACTCGACTCTCTCGAAGCACCGGTTGCTCTCGCCTCTCTCGAACTCAACCTCGCACCGCCTGCTACACGATGGTCTGCACTCCCTCGACCTCGACCTTCACCGTCGCCCTGGTGGCATCGGCCGCACTCCTTGCCGGACAGGCTGAAGGTGCGCTCCTCTCCCGCTCCTCCTCTTGCAACTCGCGCTGACCCTGGAGCTATGCAGCCCTCCCTACCTCGCGCTCTCACTCGACGATTGCTCGCCGCGCCCACATCGCCACGCACCACCACGTCGCCCGCTCTGGCACTTCTCTCGGCGACCACTCGATCGTCGTCGACGCCTCGACGTCCTCGCACCCCGGCTCGTCCGGCGGGATCAAGAACTCGACGATCAACCTGACCTCGATCTCGCGCCGGCGCGACTCGACCCTCTCGACTTTCTCGCGCGTCGTCCGCTCCCTCTTCGGCCGCGCCGTCCCCGCCGCACCCGCAACCTTCACCGCCCTGCCGCTCACCGTCTCCGCGCCCGTTTCGCCCTCGTCTTCCCTCAAGAAGCGCTCGGCTGCCCACCCAAAGCGCCGCCGCAACGGCAACAAGCTCCCTCGCCGCGGCGCGCCGCTCAAGAAGCTCAACCGCTCGACGCACGCCCAGCGCCGCGCCGAGGCCGCCAAGCGCGACTACCCGATCAACGTCAAGCTTCAGCGCCGCAAGGCCGCCAAGCGCGCTGCCGTCCTCGAGGCGCGCGCGATGAACTACACCCTCGCCGACGCCCAGGCTTCCGCCTACTCTGCCGCCGTCGCCGCCCTCTCCGACTCGCCTTACTCGCCGGCCGTCACTGCCCTCCCCACATCTGCGTCCGACTCGGCTGAGCCGACGACGACCGCCTACTCGACCATGCTCCTTAACCCTACGCCCGCCTCGGCGGCCGACGGCAACTCGCCCTACACTGGAGACGCTCGCTCTGCACCGAACGGCACTCTTGGCGACGCAGCAGCCGCCCGCGCGCAGCAGAAGAAGCAGTCCATCTCGACCGAGACGGTCACTCAGACTGTCACCCTCGTCGCCGCTCCGGGCATCGCCACTCCCGGTCCGGTCGGCACCGCTTCCCTCTCCTCGACCGTCTCGACGACGATCCTCAACCCGAAGGCGGCCGGTTCCGCCTCGCTCCTCTCGTCCTCGACGGACGCCCAGCCGACTCCCTCCTCCGCCGCACTCCCTACCTCTCCTCCTCCGTCGACTGCGACCGCCTCCGCCGCTCTCCAGAACGTCAAGTCGGCCTTCGAGCGCCGGAGGATGCAGCCTGGTCGTCGTGCGGCGATCCAGCATGAGCGCGCCGCAAAGGTCGCGGCGACGCAATGGTTCAAGGCTTGATGCCTGCTCCACTCTCCCCTCCTAGCGAGGTTTCTCTTCACGATCACATCACGAAGCTAGCCTTCTTCCCCGTCCCTTCACGTTATTCGAGCGCTGTGCGCCGTTTGTCTAGAACTGTTTAGTCGTTGCTGAGCAATGAACTCACGAGCTGCCGCCTCTCCCGCATCCTCTGGCCTCACGAGAGATGGAGACGAATGCAACGACCTTGCAAAGTGTATACACAGCTGAGAACGCGGAAAACACCGCCCGAGATACACATTCCGCCTCACTTGCCCGCAACCTCCAACTCGTGCTCCCTCTCCCTCCACTCCGCCTCGACAACATCCTTGACCCACTCGCCCCTCGGCTCCATCCTCGCAGTGAACGGCAGCGGGTGCGACGAGAAGCCCTCCGAGAAGGCATCGACCGAGGGCGGCGCCTCTTTGCCCGTTGCTGGATCGATCGCGGGGCGGAAGTTGAGCGTCCAGAGGAGACGAGTGAAGACGATGAAGAGACTGCGGTCGGCGATGTGCTTGCCCGGACAGACGCTGCGTGCGCTTTGTCGTCAGCACTCACTCCCTGTCGCGAACGAGCGAAGTTGGAACGCACCGACGTCCGAAACCGTAGCCGTGGTGACCGACATCGCTGTACTTGGTCCCGACGAGCTTGCCGTCCTTGATGAAGCGGTCTGGGTTGAACTTTTCCGGCTCGGGGTAGACTTCCGGGTCGAGGTGGATCGCCCAGTGGTTCGGCAGGACGACGGTGCCCTTGGGAATAAAGTAGCCTGCGGTGAGGGAACGAATCGAGTGAGCGAGAGACATCTGGGAAGCGAAAGGAGCTAGAAAGAGCGAAGCGGAACGCACCATTGTACCAGTCGTCCTCGGTCGAAGCATGCGCCAATCCACCCGCAATAACCGTCCTCCACCTCAAGATCTCCCTCACGATCGCGCCGCAGTAGATCAAGTCGGGCTGGTCTGCGAAAGTCGGGAGACGAGCGCGGCCGACGACCTTGTCGAGTTCGGCTTGGGCGCGGGCTTGAATGTCCGGGTGTGTGATCATGGTCATCATGAAGGTTGCGATGCCATCAGCGGTCGTGTCGGAACCAGCACCGTACATCTACAAGCGATGCGAGGATGAGCAGGACGAAAGGGCCTTGAAAGCGAAGGAAACGCACCGCTCCGGCCAAGAAGGTCGCCTCCTCGTCCTTGAGCTGGTACGCCTTCTGCGACTCGAGGATGTACTTGGTAAAGCAGTGCGAGTCGCGTCCCTCGGCGAGGTTCTTCTTGACCTGTAGAGCGGAGGCAAGTCAGTCGAAGCTAAGTTGAGCAGAGCTGGCTGCGACGCACATCATCGACATGCGACTGGAAGAGCGAGAGCGTCTCGTTGAAGATGGCGCGAGCCTCACGCTTGAACGGCGCGAGGACCTCGGGGACGTATTTGAGGATCGGGACCGAGTCGACTACGAGACGAGACAGGCTTTGTCAGCGACCATTGACGCCAAGAGGACAACTTGTACGCACCGAGGTAGCGGCCAGCGACGGCGGTCTTGGTCATGTACTCGTTGACAGCGCGCATCTGCTCGGCGAGAAGGTCAACTCCGTCCGACCTGTGAAACTCAACGCCGGACGCACCCTCGTGATAGCCGGTTCTTTGGGCGAGTTGGCGCGCTTGTTGAAAGCGATATTCATGATGGTCGAACCGGCGTAGCGCTGGCAGTGGCCCCAGTACTCCTGCGGCGTGTTGAGCATGTCGCGGACGAGTTGTGTGCTCTCGAGCTCCTGGATGTCCTCGTACGTCGATGCCGCGGCAGGACCTGCAAATGCGAGTGTCAATGGAGCCGGAAGCGAGGCGGAAAGGCGCTGGACGCACTCGTAAGCTGGTGCAACAACCTCCTCTCCCTCCTCCACAAGTCTCCATACGGCATGAACGTCATCCTCAGACCCCTCGACACGAGCTCCGAGGTCATGATCAGCCTCGCGCGGGACGAGTAGATGGCCGAGCGCTTGTCGAGGAGGTCGATGGCGGGTTGGGCGCGGCCGACGACGAGCATGGTCGTGCGCCCGAGTTTGAGGGTGAAGATCGGGCCTTTGCGATCAGTGCGGCGTCAGCTGGACGTCTCGAAGACGGCGAGAACGTCGCGCGGCTCACCATACTGCTCTGTCCACTCTGCAAACTTGACCCAAGGCCGGCTCTTCGGAACGTCGAACAGGTTGCCGACGATGGGGTACCCGGGCGGTCCAGGCGGGAGCGGACCCTTCTGCTTCTTCGATGTCGCAGCGTAGAGCACTGCAGCAGCGACAAGCGCAGCAAGGACGGCTGTGGTCGTCGTTGAAGTTGAGCCGAGGGAGAGAAGTGGGGGAAGGGCGGCGAGAGGCAGGGTAGAGTTGCTGAATGTCGCCATCGTCGTCGAAAGCGAGCAGGATACCACACGCTGGACGTGTGAACCAGGTCGCAGCGGAGCATTGAAGCGAGCGAGCTGGTGAAAAGCCGGGGGATTAGAGGTTCCTCCGGACTCCGAGCGCGGGGACAGGTGTGGGGTGTTGCGTTCCGGCCGACGACGCGCTCGAGGCAGTCTCGGCAGCAAGGCGAGTGGCAACCTGCCGAGACGCAAGCTGAGCCGCCGGAGAAACCTGCCCGAGCGGGAGATGTAAAGCGGCGCAAGAGGGCGGAGGTAAGGCAATGTCCGCTAGAATGCAGGCGTTGTCTAGCGGGTTGGCATTGTGCGCGTCGACAGTAAGCGTTGTGAGCATAGTTGTCGACGAAACGAGGAGCGGGCTTGGAAGAGCAGGAACACGGCCCGCCGGTCCAAGCGGATGTCCTGCGTCGTCGAAAGTCGTCGCCAAGCTATTCCTCCTCAACCGCCATTGAGACAGTACAGCAGCGTACGATGCGTACTCGTCGGCGAGAAGGCGGGCGGACAATCGGATCGGCAGCAACTTGGCGGCGTTGAAACGGCATGTCGTCCTTCTTTGAAGAGGCAGCGAATCTGGGCGTCCCTGGAAGGGTGGACTCGCGGCACGGCAAAATAGAAGGGTCGTCGCTCTTGCCTACATATAAACTCCGCGTGCGTTTGGGCAATGTCCCGCGAGGGGAGGCACGAAGAGAGTCATAGTAGGCGGGGATGAGGAGGGAGAGGGGATGATGAAGGGCGCGCAGTTTTGGAGAAGCGGTGCACGCAGTCGATGAGGAGACTAACGAGTGCGAGCAGGTCGGAACAGCAGGTCTTGAGGAGCGGATCGAGGCGGAGGGTGCAAAGTTTCGGGAGGAGCGGGTCGCTGGACAGCGGCGCGAAGCTGTGTGCTCGGCAGGGTCAGTTCGTACGATCCCGAGGAGATGTAAAGGTGAAGAAGGACGCACCAATTCGTTGTGGTCGAGGAGTAGCGCTCCTGTTTGGCGAGAAAAGCGTGCGGTCGAGCGAGGCATCCGCAACTCGCGCGCATGCGGTGCGAGTCTCAGCAGTGCATATCACGAGTCCGTGCACTCGAGCGACAGTGTCTCTGAGCGCATCGAGCGATGTTTGCGGTGAGCGAGTGAGGTGAAGGAGCGAGAGAGGCGTGCGCGGTGAGCTGGGCGAGCACACCAACCTGGACCCCTCGCACCGCTCTTGCTGGGCTGCGTTACTGCCTGCTGAGCTGCTCGAACACTCTCTCGATGGCTGCATCCAACTTGCACGCCCGCACAAGCTGTTGACGCCGCGCTGTCGCCTCCTCGCCTCGATCCTCGCCAGGCGACCCATCCCGACTCACCAGTCGCCTTTGGACGCCGTTCGGATCGCTCACCGGGACGGCAGACAGTGATAATGGAGGGCAGGCACCCAAGCGAGCGGTCATCGAGCGTTGCCGCACCTCTCTCGTGCACCTCTCGCTGCGATCCTCGCTTCGTCCTGCTGCTCGGCGACTCGTCGCCTCATTACGGTCGACATCGACCGAGGCACTACTGGACACGCTGTCTCTTGCTGTGTCTGCTGTCTCGACTCGAACGGAGGCTCGCCGCATCGACTCTGTCACGATCGCTTCGTCCCGCTCTCTCCGCCTGCGAGGCTTTTAATCAATGCGAGACTTGTCGGCAGCCGAGTCCGACGTACTCAGCACTGTACGAGTACTTTCCCCCGCTTCCGGCACAGCAGGCGGGCGTTCGACCGCGCACTGCGACGCCCTCGTTCCCTCCGTCGCTTGTACACAGCTCCTGCCCGACCCCGGTCGAACAACGATCAAGGACACGCTCGCTATGCAGGAGCACGACCCGGCGTTACGATTCCCCAGCGCTGGACAGGTCTCTTTGTTCCAACGCGACCGTCTTTGTCCTCGCGCCAACACGCCCTTTGTCGCCGCGCCTTACAACCATATCCGTCGCCGCCTATTCAACCCAGCTAATGATATTGGGCTGATCTACACACCAGCTGAGCCGCAGCAATCGCTCGCTCTCTGCCTTCTCCCGACTCGACCTTCCGGATCCGTCGCCTGCTCCCTCTCGAACGAACCGGCTTCCAACGCCGCCCGCTCAGCTGACAAACCCCCCGAAGACCCGTGGCTTCGCTCTCGGTCCGCACGAGCGCTCGAGCGGCGCACGAGCCGAGTCCATCTGCTCTCGAAGCGGGCTAGCGGATTCGGGAGCACTTCTCTTTTTGCTCGAGCACTGTCGAGGCTGGACACATTGCGCGGCAGAGTTACAGTGGCGAACAAGCTTCGTTCGAGCTATTTGTCATTCGAGCGAAGGAGGGCAAGATGGCATGAAAGCCCGACGAGGGAAGGGGAGGTTTCGAGGCGAAGCGTAGGGACGGCGTCGCCAAATGCCATTTGGAGGCGTTGCCCGTCGTGCCATCGTCGTGAAATGGCTTCAGCGTGCGCCATCGAGCCTTGAGAAGGCAAGCGAAGCCCTCCATCCTCGAAAGAAGCCGTCGTCCAGCCATCCTCCTTCTTCCGAGCGGGCGCCACAGAACCCGACTCGGCGTTCTTCAGCGCGAGGCAGCGACTCGTACGATGGTGAACGAGGTGATTAATGAGACAGCGCGAGGCGCGAAGGAAGCGAGCGAGCGAGAGAGGAGGGAAGGCGAACGGAAGTGGGCGAGGGTAGCGGGTGAGACGAGGCTAACCTGATTCGATGATAGATGAGCGAAGCGGACACTGTGCTGCGATAGAACGCCCGCAGGGCTGGCGAAACGCTTCGAGGGGCGAACGAAAGCAGGAAAGGAGACGAGTAGCGAGTCGCCAGCCGCCAGGACGAAGGAGCGGAGCAAGAGAACAGCACAGCGCCGGCAAAGCGCGGAAAGAACAGCGGAAGCGAAGGCTCGGCGAGCGGCGTGCACGAAGGAACGGCAGCGTCTCACCATCCGTCGCCTTCTAGACGTTCCGATCTGCGCTTGCACGACGCCAACTCGCTGCTGCTGTGTCTCGGCTGCGAGTATGGGTCGTAGTGTAGTCGGAAACACGGTGGATGGGAGCGTCGCGGCGAACGTGTGGGCGACAAGAAGATCTGCCACTGGTTCCGGTTCTCCTGCTCGTCGTCCCGGCCAGCAGCATACGATCCTTTGTCCGTCGCACGTTCTTCTGCAATGCGTCGACGCCCGAAACGAGCGATCAAAGAGCGTTGTGCGTCCGCAAGCAGGTCGTCGAAGCCGGGCGGGTCAGGCTGGCAGGCGGCCGAACAATCGTAGTCGGCGCGCGAATCAAGCCAGGAAAGGGAAGAGGGGAGGTAATGGAAGCGAGCGGCGGCAGCCGGTGTGCGGGTCCGAACTTGGCAGGTCCTTGTCGACGACGGCGTATGTCCTCTTCCGGACGACAAAGTTCGCTGGTGACGCTTGAGCGATAGCGACGTGCTGATGGCGGGATGCCCTGGGCCCTCGCAGACGGGGCAGGATCGCAGGCACGAGGAACCAGGCAATCAATCCGGACGAAGGCAGGAGGAGAGAGGGAGAGTGCAATCCGCGCTTCTTTGTCGAGCCCACCCGCCCGCCTTGGGTCTGCCTTCTCCTCCCTCGTTCTGCCCTGCTGTCCTGCCGCCTGTCCAGCACGCTACGACGCCCCAGCAGCAGCAGCCCGTTGACGACCACCTCGACGAGAAGCACCTTCCCAGCGCGGCCCCTCGTTCTTCGAGCCTTTGCGCATCGTCTGTCCGCCAGCGAGCGTCAGTCGAGCCAAGTTGACCCGTAGGCGACACAGCAAGGTGAGCAGCGTTCCCTGCGAGTGTGTGGGAGGAGAACAAAGAGCGTGCCGGACCGCGTCGCTGATGGCCAACGGATTCCGAACCTTGTCCCGCTCCTCCTCGTCGACCCTGCCCGTGCAATGCGCCGCTGAACTCGCCGTGCGCGCCCATTCGACGCTGTCCACCACGCCGTTCACCCCGTTCGACGTTGCAGTCCGTCCAGCGCCCGCCAGCCCCGCCATCTCGCTCGTCGCGCCGCTCCGCGCCCAGCCATCTCTCCGGGCGAGGTGAGCAGGCCCGCACCCTCAGCCATCCGCACCGCTGACGGCTGCATGCCATTGCAGACACTCGCCATCTCGCACATCAAGCCAACTCGAGCCAGCCCAAGCGATCCGCTCTCTCCCTCGCTCCTTTCTCTCCTCTTCCCTTCACTCGCTCGACCTCCGCTCCTCGTAGTCTCGTCCGCCTTACATCGACTCGACGACCGGCTCTCCCCTCTACCAGCTACCGACCACATCCCGCGCTCCACTCGCCATGTCGGTCTACCACACCAACGGTCGCCGTCACCCTGCCTCGCTCATCCCCAAGGCATGGCACGACCCGGCCCTCCTCGAGTTTGTCCGCTCGCCCGTCACCCAGGACATGATTGGTGAGCTCGAGATGTCGTCTGCGACGAGGAGAACGCGCGCTGACTCGCCCGTTTGACAGCCTACCTTGCTGAGAAGGCCGTCGAGGTCATCCAGTGTGCCCCTCCTCCTCCGACCGCCGCGCTCCCTTCTCCTCCCGCGACGCCCACCAAGGCCGGCTTCCAGCAGCAGCAGACGCTCGACGCCGCGGCCGCCGCCATTCCTCCCCTCGAGACGTTCATCACGATCCTCGTCCAGAAGTCGAACGTCCAGGTCCCGACGCTCATGTGCACGCTCGTCTACCTCGACCGCCTCAAGACGCGCCTGCCCAAGGTCGCCAAGGGCATGCACTGCACCCGCCACCGCGTCTTCCTCGCCGTCCTCATCACCGCCGCCAAGTACCTCAACGACTCGTCGCCGAAGAACAAGCACTGGACCCGCTACGCCGCGCTCTTCTCGCCTGCCGAGGTCAACCTCATGGAGCGCCAACTCCTCTTCCTCCTCGACTACGACCTCCGCATGGACGAGTCGGAGCTAGTCCAGCACTTTGAGCCCTTCCTCCGCCGCCCGTCCACCTCGGCCGCTCGCGCCCAGTACGCCTCGACGACCGCCTACTACGCCCAGCAGCGGCAGCAGCAGCGCGAGTGCGAGCAGCAGCAGCAGCAGCACTGCGCGCCTTCGACTCCCGAACGCCGCTCCGTCTCGCACGACCAGTCGGGCTACCTCACTCCCCCTCCCTCCGCCCGTCGCACCTCGCCTCCCCAGCCTCGCCAGCGACCACAGCACGCGGCGCCGCCTCCCCGGCAACCGACGCACGTCTCGCCTTCCGAGTCGCAGTCGTCGGGCGGCACACTCTCGGATGTCGAGTCGGACTTTTCCGACCGGGATATGGACTGCGACCCTCGCACTCCTCCCCGCTCATCCGCTCGCATCTCGACCCGCCCCGCCTCTTCCTCCGCGAAGCTCGTCACCCCTCCTCGACGAAACTCGGGCAACGCAGCCAAGTCTGGCTCGTCCTCGCTCCCCGTCACGCCGACCGACGACGTCCCTCCCTCGATCCAGCCGCTCGTCATCACCGCCAACACGGAGCGAAGACCGTCGTACGAGCCGTTGCGGTCTCAGCGGAGCGGGAGCTTCCTCAGTCGCGCGTACGAGCAGGGCAAGGGCGTCTTTTCGCGCTCGAGCGCATCGAAGCAGGGCGGCCAACGACCAGTCGACGTCGTCGCGCACGACTTTGACCTGCGGGCGTGATCCCGCCTCCCTCCTCTCTCTCCCTCTTTCCACGGGCTGCGCCCATTTCGTTCTTCTGTTCGGTCTTTCTTGGGTTTCATCGGCTGTGCCGCATCTCATTCCACACTGTGCATACCTCTCATGTATCCCCATCATCCCAGCCATCCTCAGCCCGTCCTATTTATCTCCCCCTCCGCAACCCGCTTGTCGTACCGCTCCGCTTGATGCGGGCTTCCCTTCCCTCCTTTTCGTTCCGCATATCCGTTTTCGCATGGTCGTTCAGCAATCACGATTGACTCGTTCAGCATCCCTCGTCTCGCTGCGCTCTTCTCGCTGGTCGAGATGCGAGCAGATCTGCTGGTCGGATGCCGGAAGAGCGCAGGCGCTCTTGCGCCGCTGTTTCGTGACGCATGGCGAGGCGATCATGCGAAGGAAGAGTTGACGGACAAGGGCAGGGCAACTCGATGGAGCCGGACCTCTGTCCAGGAGGTCGCGAAGATATGCCTTACAACACCGAGGTTCTGACGATCTACTGATTCCCGAGGCGCTGTATCCGACGGAGGTAAGGGTATGGGCGAGGCTTGGGGCGAGTCGGGCGGCCATGCGACAGGTGGTACGGAGGCGAGGGAGGGTTAGGCGGATGGTTCGGGCGGGTCGACTAGGTCGCTCTGCCTGTTGATAGTCGCAAAGGCGTCAATAAAGCGGCCGGAGATACCACGCCCGAAGGAGCAGACGCACCGGTCGATCATAACTCTCAACACTCCTCCCAGCGTGTTCCCCGCCCTCTCCCTCCGCTTGATCGTCTCCAGTCCCCTCATACTCCCCACCTCCATCCCCGGTACGCGACACATCTCCAGTTCATCGCGCGACGCACCGAGTCCGCCCATCAATGCGGGACAGAGGCAGATGACAAGGTTCGAAGAGGTCATGAGGTTGTGTGAGTGGTTGGCTGCGATGGCGGACAGGACGGAGACGAGACGCGAGAGGAGGTGCCGAGAAGCCGAAGGAAGGAGAGGGAGGAAGTTGGTGCGAAGGTAAGGGACTGCGAGGTCGTCGTCGAGCGGGCAAGCCTTGATGGCGTCCCAGGTGTCGCGCGGGATGAACGGGTCCGGAAGGTCGTGTAGGAGCTTCTTGAGTAGCGAGGCAGCGATGTATGGCGCGTCCGGAGCCGAGGAGAGCGTGACGGGGTGTCCTCGGTCGTACGCGGCGGCAAGGTGAGAGACGGTCGAGGCGGACGGCGAGCGTCGGAAGATGCCGACAGAGGCGGGGCCTACGAGCGACAGAAAAAGCTTGTTAGTCCTAAATAGGTGGACGAAGCGAGGAAGTGCGCACCTCCAGCAGCCAACACGGCGAGGCAGTCGCGCACGAGGCGCGGCAATCGCTTGCGGTCCTTGCCAACGAGCTGCAGTCGGAGACTTTTCAACTCGGAAACTCGTAGCGATCGAAGCGAAAGCCGCGCACCTGTTCCAGCGAAACGCCGAACGTCCGGGGAACCTGGTCGTCCGCCTCAGGCAGCTTGATCGCCTTCTCGACAGCGGCATTCGCGCTGGCGATGCGGAGGTGCTCAGCGAGCGGCAGGAACATGTGGAGAGAGACACTAGGACGCACACGTAGATCTCGAGCGGAACGTCAATCTGCACGAACGCCTTGCCGCCGACCGACTCGGCGAGACTGCTGAGACTCGGGCACTGCACGAGCTTGCCGCGCGAGGTGATGGTCCGGACCGACAGGAGGGTCGCCGAGAAGAGCGTGACGAGGATCTGCGCAAGTCGAGAGAAGGGAGGTCAGGAAGGTCGAATCGAAAGATCAGAAGAAGGGAGGGGAAGTTAACGCACACTGCTCCACCAGCCACCACCGACGACGTAGACGTGCTGGACGTTCTTGCGCGCGGTACGAGACAAGGCGAGGTAAGCAGCGACGAGATGTGCCGTCGACGGGCTGTTCGGGGCGGGGTTGACGAAGAGGATCTGGACGCGTACTGCCGTCAGCACGTCCCGGCCTTGTGAGTATTGAAGAGTACGCACGACTGAGTAAGGCCCTCGCTCGGCGAACTGTTCGAGTCGTAGCCGCAGTCTGGTGAGCAAGTCGGGATGCGAGACCTCGCTCGAAGGGGGACTTCGGGACGCGGCGACAACGAGAAACGGGTGAGGGGAAGCGTCTGTCGTGATTCCTGCCTGCAATGCACCAGGAGAGTCAGTTCTTGCCAACGCTCTGCGCGAGAAGAAGGAAGCCGCCCATCTCCTCGTCAGGGAATCTACGCACCTGCCACAGAATGGCCGCCGCCAGTTTGTCGAGTTCATCGCCCTCGAGCTGCGAGTCACTCGAGTCCTGATTTTCCTTCCCATCCTCGAGACCGTCCTCCTCGCTCGGATGCCCTACTTCCTCTCCCGCCTCGCCCGCGCTCCAGTCTGGGAGCCGTCTGCGTACATCGGTCTTCTGCTTCTGCTGCAAGCCGCCTGGAGCCGCCACGGTTGCTGCACCTCGCCCTCCTTCCCGCCCATTGCTCGCTCCTCCTCGAGCCTTCCCGCCAACACCGAACATCGCTGATAGTGTGCCGCCCCATTCAGTCGCACTCATTCGTGCTGATGACGCCTCCGTCGACGTCGTACGGCCTGGCGAGCGGTGTGCGTCGCGGTAGACGGTAACTGATGAAGATGGCCTGTGGGGAGGAGGTCGAGGGAACGAAGCGGGTGACAAGAGGCGTCGTGCGGATGTAGGGCTGCTCTAGCACAGTCTAGCGAGTACTCGGAGGCCACAGCGCCCGCATTCGAGCCAGTCGAGCGAGGTCGACTCTACCAACCTCCCGGCCCCACTCTCTCCTCGGGACCGTTCACTTCTCGCTCGCACAACTCGCGCTGGACTGCTTTGCTACACTGCTACTTCGTCCCAAGAGCCTACTGCTACTACCATTCGTGCTTTCCGGCCGCCGCGCCGCCTGCTCGCTCATCTTGGCCCTCATGCTGTCGAAGGAACTGGGAGGGGTCTCCGAGGACGCGCGGGTGTGTAAGACCATTGCTGGTATATGCCTGCACTACCTTACTTTCTACGCGCAGCGCATCGCAACCTGGACTGTCATTTTCGGCTTGTTGCAAGCCGCGGTGAAGTTGGCGAAGGAAGACCAGCAGCCATGGCGTCTGGTCTCTCCAGCCTTCGATGCCGGCCGGTGGAGGCTTGCGCTTTACTATGTGTGTGGGCTGATCTCGCCTCTGAACATGGACCATACTAATCTAGATGAGCACTTCCACCACCTCCGCTTAAAGGATCCGGCTGAGGCAGACTACTGGGGCGCATCCCTCCTCACTGCCGATGAATTGGCAAAGCCCGTCACCTTCTCGTCTGTGACTATGCAGGTGCGGAATTCAAGGTCGTTCACACAGCGTGGCGAGAACTAACCCGGTTTGAATCTCATCAGTTCAAGTCGTCAACAGCCGGCAGCAAACGCATAGGGTCCTCTGTGGACACGTCCAATGTCCACTTTGACACTCAAGGCGAGAAGGCGTACCCTCGAGCCATCCCTCTACAAGTGATTGAAAGTCACGACCCCTCGGTCTGTCATCTCGATCCTTTCTTCTCCACTCCGAGGCATTAACATTCACTGCTCTTGCAGGCCGTTCTCTATTTATCCGTCCAACTCGAAGAAGGGTGTTTGGCGACTCCAGCTCGGGTTCCACCCTCGCTACTGAACCATCCGCTCTATTGCGATATCGCCTTCACCTTCCCGAACGTCTGCCTGCCGCTGTTCGCCTTCAAGCTCGTACTTGTGCAGCAGTCACCTCACTTTGCAGACCGTGAGAACAGTCGACCAGTTCCCTGCCCTCGGTTTGCTGACATTCACCGCTCGCAGTCTTCAAGTCTGGCTTCGCAGAAGGCACAGCAGACTATGCCCTTCCCACGTCGCTCAAGATACCGAACTGGCAAGATTGATTTGAAGGCGACCCTGAAGAGTTTGCCGAGTTTAGCCGCCAAAAGACAACGAGTCGGATCAGGCAGCGATTGATTCCGTGGTGGTCAAGAGCGGACACTCGGGTGATGTAGAGATGACGTGCGCGTCCAATGACGCTTCCACGTCGACGGAAACGACATCGCCTCCCAAGTGCGCTGCGCAGTCGCCGACTTCGACCGTTAACGACCCGAACTCGATCGCCGACACGACAGCACGGCTGCTAGGCGAGGAGGTGCTACAGAAGCGGTGGCACAGAATCGAGATCAGCGACTGCAGGTGCGCGTTTGTCTTGCTACGCTTAGGCTTTCAGCGACTGACCATGAGTTTTTGCGGCAGCTGGGCGACGTTTCGCACTTATCTACATGCGCTGTACTACGATGCGGCTGGATGGATTCCATCTCGCTCGCGATACCTTGCACACGTCTACAAGGACACAGGGACGCCTGCGCCGGAACTCCAAGCGCGTCAACAAACATCCTTCTCCGCGCAGACGAACGTAAACGTGAACGGCACGCCTTGCTGCAGCGCGCACGCCTTCTACAGGCTGGCAGATCGCTACCTCGACGTTCGCTTGCGCGAACGGGCGAAAGTGGCGATCCTACGCAGTCTGACGGTCGATACGGTGCGCTGGCTCACGTCGCCTTCTCTCGTCTTTCGAATCTCGCTGATCCTTCTGTGTGCAGGCCGCCTTCGAGGCCTTCTCCTCGCTCAGTCGCTCCTTCCCCGACGTGCGCGACGGCGTAATCGACTGGATCGTCGACCACGCAGTTCGTCCCTCCCTTCCGCGCAATCCATGACTTCGACTCACACTCTTCTCGCAGGACGACGTCTTCAAGTCCCGCGGATGGCAGCGGGCTGTCGAGCTCGTCGACGAAGGGGCGCTCGCAGGCGGAGCGACGGTGATGAACCGCGTCTTGACGGCCGTGCGAGAGAAGGCGGCGCGAGATGCGCGAGAAGCGAAGGCAGCAGCTATGCTGAGGGGGAGGAAGCACCACCTTGACGCGGACAGCGAGTAGCTAAAGCGAAGAGTAGTGGTTCATCTGTATCTCTCTCTCCCGTCTATGTTGCTATACATCCTATCGAGCCTCCCGGCGAGACCGCAAAGTCGAGTGAGAGAGACACGAGTTGCACATGATACGATGGAGACGAACGGAAAGACTGCGAAGCGACGAAAGTACAGCGAGAGGAGGAGACGAGGTCTAGGTGCGCGACGTTCCGGCTGCTCAGTCCGTGCTGGAGGGCTTGATCTGGCTGCCGACGCTCGCCTTGCGCGAGTAGAACTCGTCGAGGACCTTCTTCGGAATACGGTTGAGCTGTTCGCGTGGGAACAGGCGGAGGAGGCTCCATGCGAGGTCGAGCGAGTCGAAGATGGAGCGGTTCTCATTGACGCCCTGCTTGACAAACTCATTCTCGAACCGGCCGAGGAACTCGATGGCGAGCTGCGGGCGTCAATGCGTCAGCGAAGCGTTCGTAAGCGTAAGAACTTGACCGGAGCGGAACGCACCTTCTCCTCCGAGCTCAGCGCCTCCTCACCGACAACAGCCTTCATCGCTGCCGCGTCCTTTCCGATGGCGTACTGTGTCAATAGACGGGCAGTCAGCAGCTGAAGCGGTTATAAGCGATGCATGAGCTGCGCCGCTTTGGGGGGTCGGACGCACCAGGGAGTACAGCTGGTTCGACACATCGCCGTGATCCTTCCTCGTCAGCTTCTCGCCGATAGCGCTCTTCATCAGCCGCGAAAGCGAGGGCAAGACGCTGCGGCACGACCGAGCGAGTCAGCCAAGTCGACGGCAAGGAGCGGGCGTGGGCGGACGCACTTGATTGGAGGGTAGATCTGCTTGTTGTACAGCTGGCGGTCGACGAAGATCTGGCCTTCGGTAATGTAGCCCGTCAAGTCGGGGATGGGGTGGGTGATGTCTGCGCGAGGGAGCACCCGACAAAGGATCAGCTCGAGCTCCGCTTCAAGCAGTCATCGCCGACAGTGGACAAGCGCGCACGCACCGTCGTTAGGCATCGTCAAGATAGGGATCTGCGTGATACTGCCATTGCGTCCCTCGACACGTCCCGCGCGCTCGTAGATCGTCGACAAGTCGGTGTACATGTATCCGGGGTAGCCGCGTCGTCCGGGTACCTCCTCTCGCGCAGCCGAGACCTCACGAAGAGCGTCGGCATACGAGGACATGTCGGTGAGGATAACGAGGACGTGCTTCTCGAGCTGGTAGGCAAAGTATTCGGCGGTGGTGAGGGCAAGACGGGGAGTGATGATGCGTTCGATGCTGCGGGCGAATCTGAACGTCAGTGCGGGTGCACTCGGAGCGAGGAAAGAGGCTGCGCACGTCGGGTCGTTGGCCAAGTTGAGGAAGAGCGAGACCCTATCAAGCGACCCGTTCTCCTCAAAGTCCTGCCTGAAGAACCGCGCCGTCTCCATGTTGACACCCATCGCGGCGAACACGATCGAGAAGTTGTCCTCGTGGCCGTCGTGGACGCCCTTGGTCGGCGCGCCTTCGGGGTTGCGGTCTGTCGACTCTTTGTTGACGAGGCCGGCTTGTCGACAGATCTGGGCGGCGATCTGTGCGCACGGGACGAAGACACGGACTCAGCACGGCCAAGAATGAGGGGCACGCAGAGAAAGCTCGCAACGCTCGCGACGCACCTGGTTGTGCGGCAGACCCGACGCCGAGAAGATGGGGATCTTCTGCCCGCGCGCAATCGAGTTCATGACGTCGATAGTCGAGATACCCGTCTGAATCATCTCTTCAGGGTAGATACGCGAGTAAGGGTTGATCGGCGACCCGTTGATGTCGAGGTAGTCCTCCGCAAAGACCTTGGGACCCTTGTCGATAGGCTGGCCGGAACCGTTGAAGATTCGTCCGAGCATGTCTTCCGAGACGGGGAGCTTCATGCTGCTGCCCGTGAACTCGACGTGCGTCGCGTTGACGTCGATGCCGGAGGTGCCCTCGAAGACCTGCACGATGGCCTTGCGACCGGTCACTTCGAGGACTTGGCCGCCGCGAACGGTGCCGTCGGGGAGAGTGATGGCGACGATCTGTGGCCGACGAAGTGACTCAGCGTGCGGTGTGGGCGAAGATTCCGAGGCGGGCTCACCTCGTTGTAGGCCGGGAACTTGACATTGTCGAGGACGACGAGGGGACCTGAGACGTGGGCGCCGACGAGTAGTCAGCCTTGCGCATGCCATGCCACGCGAAAGCGAACGACTCGTGTGCCCGACGCACCGTTGACAGCCGAGACGGTGCGATAGTCGAGCCGAGGGTTGACGTCGTACCGCCTGACTGCCGCCGCCGCGTTGATGCTGCATGCGTCGGCGTAGAATGGTCGTGCAGGCATGGAAAGGCGGACGTTCGCGGATTGAGAGAGACGAGGACGGTGCGGGAGGTGGGGGCGAGCGAGGAGGGTGTGCAAGTCGACGACGACGGCGAGGCGGGGGTAGCAGGGAATCGCAGGCGGTCAGTATAGCTTATAGAGATCTTGGGACAGTCCAGCGGCCCCCCTGCACCCGGCCATCGTCCTCATCGTCCGCAAGTGATGACGCCGGAGAGGACCCGCCTACGACGCCGCGACCGCAACAGATGGGGGTAATGAGAAGTCCCAGATCTGCTCCCGCACGGTCAAGGTACCCACTCGTCGCCGCAACCCGCCATGAGCGCTGTTTCGCCGTCCTCGCCGTCCACCTCTCGCGGGACCCCCTCTTCGAGCCATTCCTGCCTTCCCTGCGCCAAGACGAGCCCAACTCACGCATAAGCCTCCTTGTTAGATACGCGCGGGTCGTGTGGCGCCATCGCAGAAGCAGCAAGCGGATGAAGCGAGACTGAGGAGGAGGAGGAAGCGAGCAGGCCAGGGTTGGAGTCCTGTCAGTCACCTCGCCTCTTTTGCTGGCTTTTCAGTGACGCTGTGCTCTCTGGATGATGTACTGGAAGGGCTACAGCGAGTCCAGGCGAACCACCGCTGCTTGCGCCAGTTCTCCAGCCGTCTTCGTCTCTCACGCTCGACGACCGCTTCCCGCGCTGCTGATCGCTCAGCAGAGTCTGCGGGACGGTCGAGATGGCGGGTTGGGCATCCTTGGGGCGTTCGGTCGACGGAGACTGGCCCTAGAGGAGGAAGGCCGCCGGACATCCCGATTCCTCCGGGACGAGTCGCTGATCTCTTCCCTCGACCGCTGCTTCTCCCTCGAGACAACTCTGCAGTCACACTAAACGGTTCTCGCTAGGCCGAGCCCTCGCGGTTCGCCCACCAGTGGCCGTGCTTCGCAGGATGGCGTGTGAGCTCTCCCACTTCTCACAACGGCATGCGCCTTTCGCCTCGCCTCTTTTCGACACACGCCGTTCTCACATTGTCGATGCCATGCGATGTACGGCAAACCACGCTCGGCGACGACTTGACGACTTCGACATCGAAGCCCCCTGTTTCGCGAGATCGCCTTGCTTCGTCGCGTCGCGCCAAGGCGGAGCCGGACATCCAACAACTCGCTCGCTCCCGTTCTCCCGCTCCTTCACCCAGTTCATACGCTCGACATCGACTCCCGACGCTCGATTCATTGCCAGCGAAGACCCGCCATCCGCCCCCGCTCCTGCACGCCGTCCGCGTCTCCCCCACGATCCTCGTTGCCCAGGTCGCGCGACCACCGCCTTTCGTCCTCGCCAACGGGCAGTGAGCGACTTCCAGGATGTCCCGAACACCCTACACGCCCCTGCCCACCTCCTCACCCAGTCCCGGCTCGCCCTCTCCTCATTCTCCTCCCTCTCGCTACCCTCGCCCCTCCCGCCGCACGCTCTTCCTCCTCGTCTCCCTCTCACTCGCATTCTTCCTTTTCCTCGGCGCACTAGTACACCCGGAACCGATCAAAAGCGCGGTGCAGAAGGGTAAAGAGGCGGTTGTGAGTGCGAGTAGTGGGTGGAGCTGGGATTGGGATAGCGCGAGTCTGGCCGAGTGGCAGGTGCAGCCGGTGGATGAGAAGGGCGTGGACGCGGAGCTCGAGACGAGCGAGGTATCGACGAGTTCTGAGGAAGAAGCGGACTCGGTGACGGAGGGAAAGGAGGACGCGCCTGTCGTGCACGAGACGGCCGACGATGAAGTGCAGTGGACGCGTGTGGGCGGAGACGAAGCAAAGTCTGAAGCAGAGGAGAACGTCGATTGCAGCGGGGATGTGCGGGAGCTGCTGTCGACGCCCGACTTTTGGAAGGTTGAGGGTGGGTAACGTTCCACTTTCTTGCGCTGACTCTCCGCCGCTGACACCACGAGCTTGCACTTGCAGAGTCGTCGCCTATGAGCTACAGCATCTCGCCGCGCGACTACCCACCCTTTTCGCCAGCTTGCCTCTCGCAAGCCGTCTTCTCCGCCCGCCTCGTTTCCCTCTTGCCCGACGGCTCTCCCTCACCAATCGCCGCTCAAACCCTCCTCTCCCTCCCTGTTCCTACTCTCTCCAACTCGCTCGACGCTTACGAGTTCTCCATCCCCTCCACACCTTCGCTTCCTCGCGGCTCCTACGCCGTCGAAGTCTTCCTCGACTTTGGCTTCTATGTCGGTGTACTCGAGGGCATTCCGTGCGGGGAAAACGAGCGCACGTGCAATGGGTGGAAGATTGCGCAGGATGAGGGGCAGGAGTTGCGATACGTTGGCGAGAAGATCGAGGTCGTCTCGGGACGCGTTGTCGAGCTTGGCGGAGGTGCGCGGCATCCCCTGCCGAAGTACGTGCACGAAGTACTGACTATGCCGCCAAGCAGACTCGCCGGCGGCCGACTCGCTCCCGGTCTGCACCGATTTGTCCTCCCTCTCCGGCTTCTGGTCCAACCTCTCCTACATCCCCACCTCGCCCGCCTGCTCGCTCGCCACTCCCTCCCTTCCCCTTCCCTTCGTGCCAACCTCCACCTCGTCACCCCCCTCCCCGCCAATCTGGATCAACCTCGTCGGCGACTCCAACACGCGCAACATGTTCAACCACCTGACCGCCTCCCTCGGCGGCGGGCACAAGATCTTTGCTCCCAAGGTGACCGACTCGCCGACGCACAACGGGACGCACGGGACCGTCGCTTTCAGGTACCGCTCGGGCCATCCGTCGCCGAACGAGCGCAAGGGTGTGCCGGATGTGGTCGTGACGTGGGCTTGGTGGTACCAGAATGCGCATACGGTCGGCTCGGAGGCCACGACGGCGGCGGGACGACAAGCCGAGTTTGACGCGGCGCTGGACGCGAACCGCGATGACCTCGTCAACCTCGTCGATACGGACCTCGCCAGCTACTTGCGGTACACGAACGCGGAATCGACGCTCTCGTTCGCGCCTGACCTCGCAGCGATCGCTCCGACGATTAAGCCGTACCGGACGTACCTCTCGCTCGGCTCGCACGGAGAAGACCTCTCCATCCCCGGCGTCACCGCCTCACTCGACGCGCTCTTCTCGCCCACTTCCGGTCTCTCACGCTCTAAACGCGACGCCTCCAACCTCCGCCTCTTCACCACAACCCTCGTCAACGCACGTTACATCCCCCTCGATCGATTCCCTCACCAAGACCTCCTGCGCAACAACGCTCTCATCAGCGCCAAGAACGCGTACACTGCGTCATCGGCGCGTGACGAATTCCTCGAAGAGGGGAGGGTGCTTGATGTCGAGCAGCTGACGAGGGGAATCGTGGACAGCGACGAGTGGATGAAGACGAGTCATGGGAAGCCGGATGCGGTGCATTTCCGTGGCGAGGTGTACGACGAGTGGGTCAGACTCGTCTGGACGGATTTGATGAAGGGTGCGGATGGAGCGGCGACGGGCGAGACGGTCGGGGCGGACGAGGCGAGGCGGAGATGGAAGCGGAGGGTGAGCGAGTGGGAGGACGAACCGGAGGAGGAAGAGGTGGACGAGCCGGCTTATGGCTTCTAGGCGTTGTATCCTTGACTTTGTGCGCATGCAGTATGTGAATATCCAGCGCAGGTCGCCACTCCCTTCAGGGCGCGAGGAAGAGGGATAGTCGCTCGTTCGTTTCGCTCTTCTCGCCTTGAGAGTACATTGGAGAGACGATATGCCGTGTTCCACAGCCTCAAAAGACAAACATGACGAACAGACGAGCCCAAGGCGAAAGACGAAGAGGGGGCGAAGAGCCACACAGAGAGAACCCACAGCGAGACCATCCCGTCTCGTCCCATCCTTCCAACATTCTATTCCGCAGCGACTGCCCCGCAGTGCTGCTTCTGCATCGTGCGAATCGCCACGCCCGCTCAAGCCGCGAACGCAGCGACCAACCCAACGATCGCGACACCGGCGAATCCAGCGGAGAGCTTTCCCGCGCCAGAGGTAGGGGTCGAGCTGGTGCTGGCAGCCGAGGCGGACGACGAGGAGGAAGAGGACGAGGAGGAAGCGCGGCCGATGCTGGCGAGCGAGGCGCTCGAAGTGGTTGCGGCGGCGAGGGCGGCGGCGGAGCTGCGCGCGAAGAACAAGGGCGTCAGCTCGTGGCGCCTGGGCTGCCTCGGAGAGCGCAGGTACTTACGTTGTTACGGCCTTGGCCTTCTTGGTCGTGGTCATCGCGGCGGCGGCAGGAGTCGAGCTCGAGCTGTCGGAAGACAAGAGATAAGCGTCCGGGTTTCAGCCTCTAACTCCATCTGCCCGCGTCAAACAGATTCAGACGGAGAGACAAGGCCTCGGACTCACGGAGCAGGAGGAGCGGCAACAGCAGCCTTTGCGCTCGCGGCAGTCGCGGCATTGCAAGCGGGCGTGTTCGGGAGGGCGGTCTGGACGGTGCGGGCGAGGTTGAGGTTCTTGCCGGTGCCGTCGGGAAGGAAGGCGAAGGACTGCGTGGAGCGAGGTCACTCTTGACGCTCATCGCGAAGGAACAACAAGGGGACACACCTCGAACGACTCGCCGGCAGCAATGGCGAGGACGAAGTTGGACTGCTGCGCGTCAGGCGTCGTGATGCCCTCGACGACCTGGAGCGGACCGAGAGCCTTGACCTGGTCGAGGGTCGGGTTGGCTCCGGCCTGGGCGGCGACGGCCTCGGGGAGGAGGACGAGGGTGAGAGGGCGGATGCCGCCGGACTGGAAGAAGAAGACGTTGGTCGACTCGCACTGGTGCAGGGAGCCTGGGATGGTGCCGCGGAGGGTGGCGAGCTGTGCGAGTGCGGGAGAGGCGGAGAGGACGGCGGACGCGGCGAGCGCGAGAAAGGTCGTGGCGCGCATCGTTTCGGCGGTTCTTGGGTATCTGTCGGTGGGCGTGCAGAGCGAGCAGGAGGAGAGCCAAAGGTTGCTCTCGGTGAGCGGGACAGAGACCGGAATGCTGCTCTGCTCCGGAAAAGCAACGCGCGCGTCGCTTGGCATGCGGACGCGTCTCGTCACGTGCCGATTGGGAGGACGAGCGGGCTGACTCGCTGGTTTGAAAGCTGCAGTGTACTGCTTCAGCGTTCATGCTACAGTGCTGTAAGCGAGGAGGACGCACCGAATTTGCGGCGAATCCTCCCCTCAGAAAAGCTGAGAGGTCAGGAACCCCACTCACGGGCTGGACAGCAACGAGAGCAGCAGGATCAAATGGCTGTTCGTGAGTGTTCAGGCAACACTTGTACGTCCGTGCAGACGGAATGAGGCCTGAGTCTGCCGAGCGAGAGGAGGGTATGACGCAAGTCGAACGAAGTTCTGGCCGACTGCCGCACAGGTCGAGGTCGCGGCGTGCTTCAATGACAGTACGAGAGACAGCACAGATGTCAAGCGGTCGGTTAAGGCGGCAGGTACCGTCGCAAGGCCAAAGAAGTAGGGTTGGAGACGACTGAACCGCCGTCAACCGCCGACAACACCCTCATCCGCGCTACCTTGAATCACCCTCGGACCAAATCCCTTGAACATGCTCTTTGATCGCCTACTAGCCCTCCTAGTGCGCTGTGTCGTCGAGGTGAACCGAAAGCGATGAGAATTGGAGGAGCGACAAGTAGCGGGACTGGCGGCGTCGGGCGAGGTTTCGCGGCCAGCGGTACCGTTTTCCAGCCCAGCAGTATCCGTAGCGATGCCAGCCAGTCCAGTCTGAGCGAGTTGTGCAGACCCGAGCGAACCGTTTTGGCGAATCCCTCCCTTGGCCTCATCCCAGCTGGTCAATCCGCTCAACTCTTGCTATCTGACGGTCTGACACGCTCAAGGATGAATCCGGACCAGTCGAAGCAGCCCGCTAAGCCAAAAACGCCCCGCGCAACCACGTCCACCAAGAACAGGGCGAACTCGCCGGAGCCGTACCGCTCGCACTCGACAGAGATCTCGATCGAGGACTTGTGAGTCGCGAGGAGATGCTTGACCCGTGGGCTTTGCATCAGCGAGGCAACCGATGGAAGAAGAGGGCGTGCTGGGCGCAATCGCTTGATCCGGACGAGGAGGTATCGGCTGAACGGCTGGGCTTGTCGAGCAATCTGCAGCAGCTGAGGCATGTTCTGACGCTCTTTCTACTCGGTCGCGCCGCCCTACAGCCTTCACGAGTGCGTCTCCTCCCCCCCCTCTCCCTCGACCCCCACTTCTCTCCAGCTAATCTCGTTGGCTCTCTCGCAGGTTCTGGCAACACGCGATGAACGTTGCCGAGCACCACGAGGACGACTTCAAGCACCAGGCTCTCCCACTCGCGCGGATCAAGAAGGTCGCAAAGATGGATCCGGAGGTGCAGGTGCGTCCGGGTCGCGGTCCTCGTTCAGCTGAGGCTGCTTATGCGAGAGTACTGTGCTGATCGAAGACGTGGCTGATTGCACAGAACACGATGATCTCGAGCGAAGTGACGATCCTCTTTGAAAAGGCGTGCCAAAGTGCGTTACGCTCTTTCTCCGGCTGTCCTCCGTCCGAGCTTCACATACTTATCCCGCCCCCGCAGTCTTCATCCAAGAACTCACAGCCCGCGCACACCTCGTCTCGATGTCGGCCAAGCGACGAACGATCTCTCGGGCAGACGTCGCGCAGGCTGTCTCGCGGAGCGACATGTTCGACTTTCTCATCGTGCGTTGTCGCCTATACCTGCATCTGCATCTGCCCCGTGCTCGAGGCACAGTAACTGATGCTGACTTGTGTGGTTGCCTCGCAGGACATCGTCCCCCGCACCGAACGCCCAACAGCCTCGACCTCGCACACATCCGCAACCCCCGCCCCAACAGCCAGCGGCAGCGGCACGCGTAGCCGGCCCAGTCGGACGCGGAGGAGAGCGTCGCAGAGGGAGTCGCCTGTTGAGGAGGACGAGGACGAGGAGCAGGATGACGGGGAGGGTTTCGAGGGGGAGAAGATGAATGGCGGAGGGGGCAAGAGGCGGCGGAGGGAGGAGAGTGGGCGAGAAGCGGAGAACGGAGAGACTGGGTTGCAAGGCGGAGAGCGGGGAGGGAGTGCGACGGGTTTGGACATGAACGCCGCGGCAGGAGCCGGTGTGGGCGGTTATTACTTGCCCGGGATGGGTGATCCGGCAGTGCGTGTGGTCGTCTACCTGCTCTACTCCCTCGCGGTCGTCGCTTGCGCACAAGCTGATCCCCTGATTCGGCCGTACTTGCAGAACTCTTTCCCGCCAGGTTCGCTCGGTTGGCCAGCAGGGGCTTTCGACTATCCCGGCGCACAAGGTCCTATCGTACGTCTCACACGCGCCGTTCAGTCGCCGTCCACGCTTGGATCTGCAACTGATCCAGCGTGTCGCCGTCGTACAGGACCCCTCTCTCCCCGCCTTCTTCCCTCCCGGCCCCGTCGACCCCTCCACCGGCCTCCTCCAGCCCCCTCCACACCCTGACCACGTCCAGCATGCACACCTCGACCCGCAAGTCCAGCACGAGCATCACCAGCATCCGCAGTAGCGAGCCGAGGCGGGTAAGAGGAGGATGGGGAGGGCCGCTTGTTGGGTGGGAAGACGGGCGGTGGATGTTGTGCATACTGTGCATCTACGGATGCTCAAGGGAGTCTCAATGGGCCTGAAAGAGAGTGTCGGAGAGTTGCTATACCTTCGCTCACAGAGGTTGCCTCCGACACTTCCGGCTGCTCGTCTTCCGAGCTGCTCAGACCAAGCCAGTGCTGTTCTTCTTGATCTTTCTGCGCAGCGCAAGCTACACCCAGCTCCCTCGTTCCCCCGTCGCCCGACTTCATCGCCTCACTTTCGCCAACTCGCTCTCGTTCTCTCGCGACGGCACAAGCGGACTCCACGACAGTCGCAATCGTTTACTAGACACTTTCGGGCCCAACTCACCGGCGCGACCACCCTCCCTGAGCCCTCGACCTGCCGCTTCTCCCCCTCTTCCCTTCCTCACCTTGACCCGGCACTCCCGCCCTCCGCTTCCTCGCCATGATCTTGTAGGCCGACCCACTCCTTTTTTCGATCCCACTCAACTGACCAAACCCTGCTCGTTCGACCGCAGCTGCCCCTACTGCGCGAACCAGCTCGGACTGGTCGAAGGGACGTCGGGGAACAAGTTTGGGTGCCAGACGTGTCCGTATGAGTATCCTTTGAATAAGCGGGTGCGTCCGGGCTTCCTTTTGGCGCTACTCCCGCTGTCATAAGCAGCGAAGGCAGCGCTTCTGGGGATAGTCCCTGCCCAACGAATGCTGAACGTCTTTGGGTGATGCTCGCAGTACATGGAGCGCACGTACCTGAAACGAAAGGCGGTGGACGACGTCCTCGGCGGCGAGGACAGCTGGAAGAATGTCGACTCGACTGCTGGTGCGTTACGAGGAATCGCTCGTCGATATCGCAGACTGGGCTCGAGCGCCGGGGTAGCAGTCGATAGACTGCTGTACATGCCGTCCCGCGGTCCAGCTCGTAGGAATGGACGCTGACGGTCCTTCTCGCATTCTCCGCCTCTCCCTCTCTCCTCCTCCGCCTTCGCCTCATCTTCTGATCCACCGCGCACAGTCGACTGCCCGAAAGAATGCGGCTCCGACCGCGCATTCTTCATGCAGATCCAGATCCGGTCTGCCGACGAGCCGAGCACGACATTCTACAAGTGCGTCTTCGCTTCGAACCTTTTGTCTGGCTTCCTGCGCCGGGTGCGCTGGGGTTGCTGACTGAAGGTTGATGGTACCGTGCACAGGTGCTGCAACATGTCGTGCAACCACCAGTGGCGCGAGAACTAGGCGGTCGCTCGCCCGTCGTCTCTCCTCCACTTCCACTCGTCTCCGTCTTCCGAGACGCCATCTCGCCGGCGGTCCAGGAAGTCGATCCATCCTCGTCTCCCTGCCCATCCCAACCTCTCCACCACGTCTTCGCCGCGCCTCCCTTGTTGTGAACACTAGCCTTTCCCCTTGCTCTTGCCGTAGACCTCCCTCGCACCTCGCAACACAGTCGTTTCCTTCGCACTCGATCGTGATCCGGTCTCCTTCTGTCTACAAGCGCCCTCATAAGCAGACAGACCCGCTCTTGCGCCGTAGTTGACGACCTCTTCCTCGGCTGCTCGCTGCGTTCACTCGCTTGGCGTTGGTCCGTTCGCTGCTCTCGCGCTCGCTCGGCTCGGTCGACCATCAAGCGCTCGACAGACTCTTCCAGGTGAGCAAGCAACCACTCCAGCGCCCCGCCAGCCCTCGCACGCCGGCCGCACCGTGCCCCCTCGACTTGATCGAGCAAGCACTCCGAAGTGTGCGCCGTGCTCGCTCTCTCGCCCGCTCAGGAGGTCGTACACGGTCGCAGAGCAAGTGTACAGGGTCTATAGCGCTGCTGAGTCCTTGTACGCCGGCTGGAGAAGCGGTGGAGCGTGAGGAGGGCCAAGTTGGTGACGGCGAAGAAGCGGTGTCGAATACAGCGACGACAGCACGAGCGACTGCGTGGACGGCACTGACACATTCGTACACTCGCCTGCAACAGCCCAGCACTACCGCTCCCCCCGCCCAGCCCGCCGTCGCACCCCTCGACCCCTGCTTCTCGGGGCTCTGAGCGCTCCCTCCGCACGAAGCTTCTTCTCGACAGGGTTCGCTTGCTTGGGAGGACTCGTGAACGGGTAGACAAGGAGCGATAAGGACTGGATTGCTGGGACCGGGACTCGTTTGGTGAGAGACAGTAGACAGGAAGGTGCGTTCTCGCTCGCCTGGTGCAAGAACCTGCCCTGGCCCTGTGGAAAGCCACGGGTGAGGCTATGCCCTTGCAGCAGTGGGGACTGATTTATGTTGTGTCCACATCGCAGCTACACCACTCGCCGCCGCGGCACGGCCCCGACCCCCTTCTCACCCTTCGACTGCACCTTCTTCCGCTTTCCGCGCTGCTGAGCAGCCACGCCAACCATGCCGACCCATTCTCCCCTCCCCTCATTCCACAATACGCCGACGCACTCTCCCCGCTCGGCCTCTCCGACCTTTTTCGGCTCTCCTCCCTCGTCCGCCGTCGCCGAAAAGGTCGCTCTCTCCTACCAGCGGGCACGAGCAGCGTCTGGCGGACCCTTCCGACGGTTCGGCGACCTCTTCCAAGCCTTGCGGATACCGCTCGGCAAAGCGCAGAACGGTTCTCGGCGGGAACTGAGCGTGCCAGTCCTCAAGATCCTGCACCCGTCTCGACCGCTTCCGTTCGCTTCGTCCTCCTCGACACTGCGAGGGGACAAGTACAAGCGCTCGCCAGCGATCGGGCGGATCGCCGACTCTCGACCAGGCCTCGGCTCGCTCGTCCGCGTCCTCCTCGCCCTCATCGGCACCCTCCTCTTCCTCCTCGTCTCCGCCCTCTCGTCCATCAAACTCGTCGGATCGATCTTGCGAATCGGGCGAAACCACAACTACAACCTGCCCTTCACGGACCCGTCGACGCTGGTCTTTACGCCCGCCGAGATCGAGCGAGTCTGGCGATGGGAGATCGCGTCGGGGCACTATCCCTCTCGGCGCAGTACGCCCGGCGTGTCGTTCGATGTCCCAGGAGGAGGAGGGGGCGAAGCAGCTGCTGTTGCGCCCGTCGTGCGGATTGAGAACCCAGGCTTGCCGAAGCGGACGGAGGAGGACTTGCGGCGCGAGAGGGAGGTCAAGGCCGAAGTGCAGCGGCGGTTGCGCGATCAGGCTGGGATTGGCGCAGGAGTGGGAGCGGACTCGATCCTCGCGCTCGACAAGAAGGACAAGGTCGAGGTTGTGCCGGTCGGGCCGACGAGGGAATACGTCGACATCCCGCTCAAGGGCGGCCGACAAGCGCAGGCGTATCCTCCGCGACCACTCGAGCGAGCGGCGATCGACCTCGACGCCGTGATGGACCACTGCGACTTTGCGGAGAGCAAATACGTCCGCGACTGCCTCGAGGTCTTGCGCATCAACGGCGGACTCGAGGCGCCCCTCCGACGTGGCTTGCACGACTCGTGGCGGACGACGTTTGTGCCGACGATTGGATCGAGCGCGTCGGCGAGCGCGCCGAGCGACAGGATGCGCGATACGCTCGAGCGCTACAGGGGCGACATGAGCCAGGTCCTCAATGCCTCGTCTTCGGCTTTCGCCTCGCTCGTCACGGCACGACAACAACTCACGGTGTCGACCCAGATGAACCCGTTCATGTCGCGGAAACACTCGCCCGTTTACACTCCTCACCCGTCGCACCCGAGCGCCGACCCAGCTTGCGACCCCGACTACCCGCGCCTGTTCCACATCTTCTGGGCCGGACCCTTCACCGACAAGCCCTACTCTGCCGCGCTCTCGTTCCTCTACACCCAGCGACTGGCGCTCGACTCGCCCATCGGCTCCGATCCAACGCACGAAGACCCCTCCCTCTGCCGCCCTCAACTCTGGATCTGGATCAACCCGGGCCCCGCATCGTCCTTCCCCGACCCGCGCGCCGAACGCCGTATGCGCGCAGACCTCGCCAAGAACCCGTGGTCTGCGCCTTTGCTGCATAGCCGGTTCAAGGACGTTGTCAAGTTCCGCTTGTGGAACACGACTGAGCAGCTGGACGGCGTGAGCGAGATGAAGGGGTGGAGGAACATGCGGTTGTTCAATTCGGGAGGCGTCAAGTATGGCAGTGCGGGGATGGCGAAGGACGCCGAGGTGGCGGTTGCGAAGCGGGCAGAGTCGGGGGATGGTGAAGTCGCGGACGACCAGGATGGCGCCGTGCACGACCAGAAGGTCGCCGAGGCTGAGCGTGCAGAAAAGGCGGGCGAGGAGGGCGGAGGAGACATGGCTGCTACCG